TCGCAGCATCCGGGGCAGGCGCGAGCGAGTGTATGGGGCCCGGTATGAAGTAATGTTGGCGAGATTGAATGCCCAGTCCTGACGCCTTGGCTCTTGCACCCTTCACCACGACTTCAATGCGGTTGTTGTGTCTTGGACTCTTCTCCTCCTCTACCGCGGGCGGGATTACATTTTAATGCAGAAGGCAAGGCTTGCCACTCTCTATACTCTCTCTTTATTGCCTGCCTCATATCCATGGTCGCCTGAATGATGACATAAACAAGCAAACATAGCCGCCGTTATCTCGTGGTGGACGAAGAGGCCACGTTCCGATTTTCGAGCGACTACTTAAGTACGGAGAGAAGTTGCTGCTCTGTTCTGACACCCCGCGCCTCTGTTCGCAACAACAACATCTGGGACGCGCGACCGACAATGTCTGTCTGTTCCACTTTTAATTTACCTTAATTATTTTAATTCCCCTTGTCCGCCTGTCTAACTGTGGAGCAGTGTTCCAGCCCTCGTGTTGTGTGGGAAGCAGGTGACTGGCGAGTATAGAGAACCTAGGTGTCTTGCCAGGTCTGCATGTTGAGGCGAGTCGAGAGTACTCTATATTTACTTGCATCACACGTGCTCGGTAGAGACTGAGATCGAATCACGGTGCCACAAACCTTACCCTGATAACAGCCTTAATGTCCTCCTGCAAGAGTTGGTCACAGTCACACTCTGGCCCTAAAGTACTCCGTACAAGATCAGAACAATGACAGCCGAATAAGATGAGCGATATTCTTTCTTCACCTACGGAGCCAAAGGACGTTGCTTGAGTCAAGGACGTGGTCGACGGCGTGGACTTGGTACTCAGCGCTCCGCAGTCAAGTAACGTGTGTGTGGCTTTGCGAAGCGACAAAACGGGCAGCTTTTACAATATTGTGCAACATACACGCTATAGACAACGAGGGGACCAAGATGAGGCCCTGGCCTCCCTGCTATCGGGTCCCTTTGAATCTAGCGTATTGTTGACGCTGGGACCGGACGTTGGCTCGGTTCGCGATACGTACACAATTCACTACTGTCAGTACTCCGTACTCCGTCCTCGAAGGGCAAATTGGTCAAAGCCCAGAGCAATCCTGGACGCTTGTGACAGCAGCCAGCCATCCGCCACGGCCGGGGGGCTATGATACATGACATGGAGGACTAGTCAAATCTATAATACACACTCGGTACCAAATCACCACTACTAGTCCTCCGTAGCGTGGACTATGTAGCAGTACTATTTACTTAGTGGTGGGTTCTATTGCACTATGCTCCTCCAGCTAGCGCCTAGAATGACCACAATGACTGTTTCATCAGCATAATGCTACCTATAGCACCCGCGACTATCGTGGTTGCATTGCGCCAAGGCCCGCCAGTACAAGTGAGGCACCGAGTAATGTACACGGCATATGTGGCCGTCATGTTAATAACTAGACTCGCGTCTTTGTCGTCCCTGGCAGACTTCCGCATTCGGTTGCTTGCCTTTGTCTCTTCGCCTCACAGTCCGTTCCCTTGATTCCCTCTGATGACCCGGCCGGCCGGGCTACTACTCAAGAAATTGCCTGAGCTCAGGATCAACACCGTGCCAAAAGGGAGGAGGGACAACATGACGATGGTAAGCCGAAACTTGGAACGCTTAGGAGGAACGAAATAGACGAGGAGAAGAAGGTTTCGAGCTGGCCCGCCTACCCTCTCAGCATGTTTCTTGCATCAGCATATTCCAGCTGCTGCGATATGAGACACGGCCTTACACCCTTTCTTCAACGAGCGACGATGGCGTTTTGGCCCTTTGTTCTTCCTGTCAGCCCCCTCCAGCTCTCGTCTTGGCTGATGCGTCCAGAATTCTTCTTTGCCTAGTCTGGGAATTGTTTCAGAACCCCCTCGTCTTGGTGTACGGAGTGCCATGGGCCATGGCGACTTTGCAGGCCCCCAATCACCTGCCGCCTTTGCCTACCAAACCAGTTGTGCTGTACGTACTTGGCTCGAGCGACCACTGAGCACCCATTCCTCAGTTTGCAATGACCTCGAAGTGGATATGCCCGTCTGATCTCCCTTGCCAAGTACGGAGCATGGGCGGGCCTGTCCGTATTTTGCCTGCCGTCCGGACTTGCGAGCAGGCCAGCGGACCACCACGCCATGGATGATGGTGGTCTGGATGGTCCTGCTGCTGTCAACTTGACCCGCGCTGTTTCCAAGGCTCAAGCAGCACCTGAGTTACTCCGGAGGCGTAGGGTATGTACATGTCTCGGCTAGGTACGGAGCAGTACTACTACAACATCATGACGAGTGGTCATTTCCTTTCATCGAATTGCCACATGCTTTGGTTGGCTCTGTGTAGTCACCGTTTCAGCTTTTGGTTTTTGTTGGGCTTTTTTTTCTTTCTTACGTCAGCAACGCCGGAGCTCCCATACTAGCCCGCGTCCTTCAACGACCAAGGCTACGCTACGCTACACGCATCCCAGGATCAACCCTCCTGGTCTCGTCTGGCTGAACTGAATATCCTTCAAATTGCTCCCAGCACCAAACACCCTTTCCCGGGGGGCCATCCGGCAGACCTCATTTCGTGGTTGTCGTTGCTGCTTGCTTGTCGGCGAAGCAGATCAAGCTGTCTGTGGCCTCGAATGCTGCGCCGTACCAGATATTCTTACATGTTAGATTCCCCGTCACGTACTCCGTACTCGGTACTCGTACTCGGTACTCGGTGACCCCCATCCCACGCGGGCAACTGCAAAATTTGATTTCAGAGGCGGCAGAACCAGTCTGTCGGGAGCCATCCACCACTCGCAGGCTGGCGTCTGTGGCTCTGCAGCGAACACTGTGACAAGTTAGTTGTGACAGAGTTTCGCAAAGGAGCCTTGGCTTTGTTGGCCCATACGGCGGCGGCCTGGGCAAGGGCTCCCAGGCCCGCAGTCAGCTTCAACGTTGCTTCACGCGTCAATGTTTGGAAGCCTGCCTGCCCCATGCCCACGCCTTTGTCCAGACTCCAGAATATCGATTTCTGACGGCCTACTCCGTACTTCATACACGAGTACGGAGAAGTACCTACCCAGGTACCCGAGATAGGGCGGGCGAGCGAGCGAGAGAGAGAGAGAGACCGAATCCGAATGAGAGAGACCGAGGGAGGTCGGCAAACCAGACTGACCGAACCGAACCGAACCGCTCAGTCGGAATCAAATCACACGCCAGAGCTCGAGGTCTTGGTCTTTCCTGGCCGAAAATACGGGGACCCCGTGTCCAACAAGTTCTCGTCTTGTCCAGTAGCCAATGCCAACACTGCCAGGACCAAGAAAACATGCCACCATCACCATCACCATCATCAATCATTTCATGCGCGTCGCTCATCCCTAGACGTTACGGCGGTAACGAGCAACAGGGTAGCACGGAACCCCTTCAATCCTCTCCGGGCCCTCCCTACTCGAGTACGGAGCACCCAGACACTCCACATGCGCTCGCTCCCCGAGTAAATCATGGCACATGGCAAATCCAAGTAGCGACATATTCCTAGCACCACGCCCGAAGGCACTGCGGCAGACCACTGGCCTGCATGGGTCGAATGGCGATGCGATACGAGACGGCACAGCATGTAACCAACTCCAACCACGCAAGTAGGTACTCGTGTCCCTACCAAGCACATGGCATCTACATACGGAACAGAGCAGCCATCCAAGCGACTGGTATGGTACTCCGTACTCGCGTAGTATATCATCATGACACGACTGCGTCCGTTATAAGTCGCGCCCGGTTCCTTCGTCCCTGCCTCAGTCCTGTCTGTCCCGCCTCCCCGGCACTCTCTCGCCCAGGCCAGGTCAGGCCAGGTCAGAGCGTGGTTGTAGAGACGGACCATGGACCGACGGGCATGCCCATCAAAAACCAAGTTGCCGTCCAACAAGACGTCAACAGACGGGCCGGCTGCCACACCTCAAGTCACATACATCATCCATACTCCGTACATGCATAGCCATGTGATCGAGACAACAACTCCCTCCCTGCCCCCGGGGAGCCGGCTCCTCAGTCTGCAGGCAACTCTGACTCACTCACTCTCTCCTCCGTCTGGCCCAAGTACTCATCGTCCTCGTCCTCGTCTCTACGTCTCTCTCTCTCTACGTCTCTCTCTCTCTACGTCTCTTTGAACCCTTGCCCTCCCCCCCTTCCCTGTACGACTTCCCTGTTCTGTGCTCCGCGCCTCACCGCCGTCGTGACCTCGTCTGTACGTACAATGCGAATGGGCCACCGGCCAGTCCAGTTGCGCGGCATCCGCGGAAATGGCTGATAATCCACAATCCGAGGAAACGGCAAGAACCGCATGTGGCTGACACTGAGCACAAAGGGAAAGCAGAGGAAAGGGAAGGGAAGGCGGGAAAAAATAAAAATAAAAATAAACGACAACATGGCCCAAGCGAGTTCCAGGTCACGGCAATTTCACCCCCCGTCCGAGAGAAACCTCAGACGTCCAGGTGGAATGTGTGTGTTTCGTATTGGCTATAACACTACTACTTTGATTTGAAGCTTGCAACTCTTTTCGTCCATAACGCCGGTGCCCATCCATGTCTCAATACCCAAGTGTGACAGGAACAACAAAAACAACAACAAAGACGAAAAAAAAAAAGGACCCCTCGTCCATAATCGCCATGCGCTCTCTTCCCCCCCTTCTCTAGCCGACTCCTCCCCGGTTGTTTGCTCTTGAACCCACTCATGGTGCGGCCTTCAATCGCTGTCTGACTGACATGTCTTATAATACTCACAGCGCTAATGCTAGGTCCCAATGTGACAACTGAAAAAGAAAGATGGAAAAAACAAATACTACAACATAAAAACCCCCAACATGATCCGCATGCCACTCAACCGCGAGGTGTGAATTAATAAGTGTGAATTAGTAGAAATTAGCTGTTCCGCTCAACATGGCGGGTCAAATATGCGCCAACAAGGCCCGGACTGGCAAGCCCGCTTGCGGGCAAAGGGCCACGCGGGCCGACTCTCAGTCACCACCCAGCTCAGTATTTGGTAGAGTAACGGTGCGCAGTTGGCGTGTATGGAGGATCGTAGCTGCTGGTGTGGCCGTACGGATCGTCCGCGTAGACAGTCCCTCTACGCTCGTCTTCTGGCAACAGCTCCTTGACTTCCCAGTTGTTCATGCGTGTTCCCACAGAGAATTCTAGATCTTCCTTGGTGATGGAGTCCCAATACTATGACACAAAGTTAGTCAATTGCTTCCACCCCGTCACTTTTCCAGCCTCCATGGGCAGATAGCATCCCATCTGTAATGGGACAGCAAATGATCAAGTGACTTCATCATTTTTCATGCTGAGGAGAAGAATCATACCTTGTATACCATCATAACACCAAGCAGGTTGCAGACTGTCGCAAAGAAGAGGCCGTCCAAATAATGGCTGACAGCTGTGCAAATCTTGCTGCTGAATGCATAGAGAATCACTTGTCCGGCCACAAAAAAGAAGACGCCAAAGGCAATATCGCCGAGTGGCCAACGATCGTGCAAGGTTCTGGTAACCAAGATGACCTGCATGCCCACGTAGATGAACAGCTCAATGGCGTTCAGCAGGTATAGGACGACAAACAGCCCTACAGTGTTGGTTGGGCTCAGGCCCGCCCATCCTTTGAAAGTGGCAAGAGAAACAAGGAAGCTGATGGCAAACGCGACCAGAGAGCAGATTCGCATCATCCAGACTGAGAGAGGTGTGCCGTCTTCATATAACTGGAATCCCACAAACCCGTTGATAAGCAAGCATGTTACCAGCGCATTGCTCAACCCATTTTGTATACTGACAAAGTAGGGAAACGGTCCACTAGCCGGTGGAACTACTCCGGCATCAACAACTAGCGAGATGAAGGTCAAGAGCATATAAATGTAGAAGAATGACAGAATCTCCTTTCGGCCAACCGCCGTGAACTTGCTACGAACATGGAGAATCATCACAATCGTCATGATGAGCGCCACGATGTGCATAGCGGATGCGGCGCCTTCAAAAATGATAGTGTTGGCAAGTGCGATATTGCGAGCGTAGCAATCCGGTTCGATGCCGACGTGATTTGTCGCTGGGAGCGTAGGCCCAACGCTCGCGCAAAGAGGAAGTGGCGCATTCTCGCAGATTGAGGTGAAGTCACCGAAACCCGACATCTTGTCGGTCTTTGCAATTTTTCCCTCTCGAGGAGCCTATATCAAGACAGAGTCTCTGGGCGACAAAGCGAATCGTGATGAGTGAAAGCCGATCAGAAGGCGCGCGACTAAGCTCTGACGTGGCCGTGTCGTTGATGGTGAACCATGCGACCTTGGAGGGCTTGAGATTCGAGCCGACGGTACTGACGGAAGAAGTCTAGGATCAGGGAGCGCTGCCACTTGCCATTCAACACCAAGCCGATCTCGTGCGGTAGACGTGCAGCCCAGTCGATATGCCTCTCCTCAGTATTGTCTCGGTGGGGGGATGTTCGAAATACAGCGATTTTAAACCTTTTGAGTACCTTCGGTTTTGCGTTCTAGGGCAAGGGATGCGTTGGAGGATGCAAAGATGCCTAATAAACAATCGAAAAGGGGGCGCTCAGAGTTGGAACTGTACGAATGATAATCGCTAATGCAGGGCTGGGAGACAAGGTGTCGGGTGTAAAGCTGCGATTGATGGCCGAAGAAAACCCTTCACCACACTTTGATCTGGGTTGACGGAAAGATCCCCCCCTTAAGGCCCCTGAGGTATGTTGCGAGCGTTTGGAAATGTCGTAAACTTTGTATACGCTTGTTGGCCTGACGTTGAGAGTCCAGGAATCCGCCGACGTAAAAACGAGCGTAGTTGTCGGAATCGGGAAACACCCGGAAAAGCGAGCGGCTGAGACGACCAGAGCCTTTGCTACTCGCTGGGATGCGACTAGCGATGATGGATCGGGTCGAGGGAGATGGAGGAGGCAGAAGCGAAGGAGGTTCTATGCCCAGGGTGGTGGAGGCAGTTGATGGCGCAAGCTAGTAGTAGTAGGTAGGCAATATTTTAGTTGTTGCCATGGAGGAAGGAACGACCGGCGGCGGCGACCACGGCCCCTCGAGGGACCTTGCGCCCTTGTTTGGGAGGTTTCTGGCCTCTGATTGGTTAGCTGTTACCGGTTGCCCTTGGATGTCCCCTAAAAACAACGGCTCTCCAGGCGCTCAAACTCATCGTAAGATTACGTAAACATCTCCCACCTGCCATCAATACGGAGGGAGTGACAAGGGTACTTGCCTCCTCGTGTTGAACCAGAGTACGGAGTAAGACCACATAAAAAAGGCCCCACTTGGACATTTACTTACCTACCTACCCCGTACTTGGGTGATAATTTTCTCAGTCCATCTCCGTGCCGCTTTCCGATACATTTTGAGGCCACCTTATAACCAGCCGCATCTCAACTGTTGGCTGGATCTCCAGGAACCTTGAATCCACACTCTTGAGTTTTTACAACATCCGCTGGGCATTCTGTCTTGGGAATTTAGGATCCATCCATCTAGATAGCTAACTAGGCACCCATGGGCCTGATACCAAGAGGATCCAGTTCATAGGTACCTAGGTACCTAGGTACTTACTTAGGTGCCTAGGAAGTATTTAAGCAGGCAGGTACGTAGCTGTAGGATCCCAACTAGGTACCTAAGTAGGTACCTAGGTAGGTAGGTACTTAGGTACTTAGGTAGGTACTTAAGTACCTAGGAACTTGAGGTGGTCAACTGGTCTCTTGGTCATTCTTCGTCGCGCCCAAGTCGACCACGGTGCCTGACCTACTCCAGTCGTTGCTTCAAAAATTCGGAATCTGTCTTCAAAGGCCAAGACGTCACTCATCATTTAATCGATATGCACAATGTCCCCAGTTAGCGACGCTCCCGTCATTGCTGGCTTATTGTAACTAATCTAATAGCTGCGCGACTAGCCAGATGTCGCCACATGTATAAACACAGACCAACTCACATCCTACTGGAGGAGCCAGATAGGTACCGCACGATCAAAGTCAACTCGAATGTAGAGATTGTCCATCACTGTCTCTTGTTACTAAACCTCTGGCCGATTTGCCATGAACTGAAATTTGTCAAAACTCCATCAAATGCAGTTATCAAATGCTCAGGCTCGTTTCCTCCATTGCGATAGTTGTCGACCGGTGCCCCCAAATTGCATTACATTTTGGGAAGTCGGTTGAACAAAGCTGCCGAACCGTGGAATAAGAGATAAAAAGCCGGGGAGGCCCAAAGCCCCTGAACCGAAGAAAAACCACTAAAAGATTAATTGCAAAATTAACGCCTGATTCCATGCCATTTCATCCATGCCTGCGTTTCCGTGTAGTGTCTAAAAACATTCATACAAATGACGAAGACAAGGGCGCGCCTATGTAAAACACAGCAGGCTCACGTCTCATTTCGTCCGGGTGGGGAATAAAGCTAAAAAGTTTTCTCTTCCGAATCGAGTCGTGGGCCGACTCATCACGGCAGTGAGTGAAGACTGTTGGCACGATCGACGTGCAAAACTGCATATCGCTCGAACGGAGGGACATGAGTGACACTACTCCTTAGGACTGAAAGTGTACTGGGTGCGCGTCATGTGGCAGAACATGCTGTTGCTGACCTCGATTGTACACTAAGAATTCAGGCACAATGCCGGTTCGGAGATCGTGTCGCCGACCCAGTGGTTGATAGTGCATCTGATTTGGCTGAACTGGAACCGAAAGATGATACTGATCAAGGGATGCCGATGGTGGCGGATTAAGCAGTCTGTTAACATGACGGATGGGCTTGTACGGGCTAGCTCGGTGCTGCAAATACACACTAGGTGAATTTGATATCGGAGTGTGAACGATTGGCGTGTGAACCGCAGATCCAGGCCCAAAAGGTTCCACCAGAGGTGAGGACCCATAAGCGGACGCCAAATTCCTAGGGCTAGGATGCTTCGTCGGAGTACCATACGCCACTTGCGGTTGCATGGACAAACTCGTCACTGGATAAGCAGATCCGGATATAGCAGATGATGATGGAGCTGGCACACCCGATTGTGACTGTAATGCCACGGCGGACGGCTGACCGGTCTGGTAGATGGTCGACATTACTCTAACACCCGACTGGAGAGGAGGTAGAGAAACCATTGGTTGAGCTGCGGATGAAGGCGGGCCTTGAGAGGAATAACTTTGACTCGTTGCGAACTGATCCGTGCTATGATTCGTCACGACGGTTAGGTGAGGAACTGGTAATCGGTTATTGTCAACATGCCCATTTAGTCGCGTGCTCGAAGCGCCTTGTAGAACTTGTCCAGCGGCTGAGTGCACCAGTCGTTTGGCAGGATGCTCCGGTAGGTCATCGTCAGGACTTCGCTTTCGGGAGGAGGGCAAGGGGATCGACATCTTCGAGGCCAATGGGGACGTGGAGTTGGACGGGTAGGCCGACATATTTTGAGAATGCCTGGAACTCGGCGAGAGGTTGAACTTCGTCGTAGGCGTGAAGGACGGCATCCCTGTTCCAGTCGGCGAGGGAACGGGCGAATAAAGCGCTTTGTGGTGGGTAGGAGAAGGGATATGAACGGGAGAAGGTGGAAGATTGGAAGCCCGCTCGTAATACTCATGGAAACATGACAGTTTCGCAAGCCACTGCTCCCATTCTTCTTTTGAGGATAACAAGTTATATCGCATGTTGCTGAGGAACTCTACTTCCATGACGTGAATTTCCTGGACAGCAAAGCAAGATACCTCCGCCCAGGTTTTGTTGGTATACGTGTTATCGTCCAGAACTACCGACAAATACGGAATGTCAGCTTCGCTGCATTGAAAAGTAGACGGTCAGTCACACGTACATTTATTCCCTAGCATCAAGGCCACCGTCAATAGTCGATATTCACTGCCAGCCCGTCCCTTGATCTGTGGTGTCGACAGCTTCAAGCGATATATGAACAACAGGGCCAGCAAGATGACATTCTGGGTGACTTGAGTCGTTGACAAAACATTATATACCCATTTTCGGAATTGTTCGTGAGGCGTTGCCAAGGTAGGAAGTCGCTGGACTGCTGCGTTGGGTCTTCGTGATCGGATCGATTCGGCTTTCTTCAGCTCGTCAATAGACTCGAACCAAAATAAACAGGTCATCTAACCAAACGCCCCCAAAATGCTTATTAGTACTAGGTCGCCCTGTTGGGCCATGGCCTGAGGTAGAGCAGAATACAACCAACCTGAGCAGCAAAATCGGGAAGGTTTCCTCCGATAGAACTAATACACTTTGGCATTTGCAAGCTGTGATAAATCAATGTCTCGGAGCCGGTATGGGGGGTAGCATGGGATCGTTTGGTCGTCACAGAAGAATCCGTAGCCGGAGTTGATGAGCTGCTAGGCTGCCGTAACGTCGTCTCTGCGGTCGGCCCTGTCGATGAGTAGGGTCCATTTCGGAGCTGGGCTTGTTGAGATGAGTAACGGTACGGATACGAGCTTCTGGTGTCATCCACAAGAGGCTTCAAGTGGTTAGAGTGAGATAATGCTGAGGTGTACCCAGACAACGTATGGCCCTCATAAGTCGGCATTGCAGGTTGATATGCTGTGCTCATGTCGTCGACTGGTGGTGGTGTCCTCAGTCCGCTGCTCAAAACCGAAGACGTGCTGACCAGAGGCGGGCGCTTTGGCAGGACAACACCACAGGTCAAATCACGCCCTGGGCAGTTTTGGCACGTCGTGGGTGAAGGGAGCAGACACGAAGCTGTTGATGAGACCCTAACGGACATGGAGAGAGAGAGGTCTGCGCATCTGGCTCCAAGCCGGGTCTAAAGGGCACTGGATTGCGGCTTGCGAAGCAAGAAGAGTTGGCAGCTTTGCGGCATTCGATGTAGACGATTATATGGCGTTGCAGCCTCGGTCGTGATGCAGTGGAAGAATGGGGGCTATGCACAGCCCAAGAAAGGGGACAACGGGAAGGACAGACGAGCGGCGTTTGTTTTCGAAAAGAGGTTCAGGCTATGAAAATGAAGGGCTTTGCAGGTGGCAGTGGTTGTCGTTCTGTGATTGTGGTGTAAGTGCGGTAGCTGTGCAGAGGCACCCTCCTCTGGTACCCTTGCTATCGTTTCTCAGCAACTGAAAGACAAAAGGAAGCAGCATGCAGTTGATTTCCTCCACAGCTGCACTTTGATCCTCACCAGAAATGGCCCATGA